GAATTCACCCTTAACCCCCCCCCCCATCATCTACCACCAAGTTTCTAAACTTAATTCAAGTATTTTAGTTTAGTTTTAAAAATATTTATTCATATATAATTTATAATAATAATAATAATAATTTTGGTTTTAGTGTTCAGTTCCTTGCTCCACTCTGACAGCTGCATCCTCTTAGGCGAATTTCTGGCAAATTCAGTTATTATTTCACTTTCATCGAATTGCTCTTTTTTTATTTATATAAGTCATAGCTAACCCATTCAGTCTGTTTTCCGATATAATGCTTCTTAAAAAAATTTTTAAGCGATTAATTCTGAAAACGTTCTTTCCGGAGTGAAAGAGGTAACTGGTAACGTGGCGAATAATTGTAAAAGTATTTTAATGTTAGGTCGAAGATTGGTGCGATGAGAGAGTGAATCAAGAGCAGAATTCGGTTTTGGAATAGTATTTTGACTCGATTGTTGCCTCCATATGAACAGGTCAGCTCTGATTGTAGATGAAGTATCATCATGGAGATCTTGGACATATATTTTAGCAGCTTTTATAATATTTTTATCGTCAAACATATTTAAATTGGCCGGAATAAGTCCTTCAAGTGGCATAAAATCAATAAGCCTTTGATTAAAACGAGCATCCATTGATTCTATTAAATAGTCAAGTACATTATACATATAAACACGGCCCATGGGGAGGGCTACAGCCCTCTTAGCCCCCCCCCTCTTTGGCTACGCCACTGCCTACAAGACCATTTAAGAATATTATCAACATGGTGTAAAAACTGGAAAATTCAGATAAATGGGTTAAAAAGCACAGCAATTATTTTTAGCCTTCATCGTTATCATACACCACAACCATTAAAATTCAATAACGTGCCTATATCCTAGAAACCGTCAGTCAAATACCTCGGAGACACTTTGGATAAGAGGATGACCTGGGGGCCTCACCTATCATCTAACAACTTGTCGTGGTCCGTCGTTGTACGGCACGACACTCGGTGTAGATGGTGGTGAATTGAAATAAAAAAAAAAAAACAGCGATGAAGGCGGTATTGGCCGGTGGTCTTGTATTATTCGCACAAACACTAACGAAGTAACATTCAGTGGTGAAATAATAAAAGCGCGGTGGCACAGGATGCACCGAGTTTAACATAACGTCAAGAGAACAAAAAAAACTAATTGACAAAGAAAGACAAAGTTGAGAGAAAATTACAAAGTGTCGATGACTAGGTCCGTTCAAGAGCACGGTGTTCTAAAGCTGGAAACGCACCAGCTGAAACATTTTGTTGCGAAACGTCTCGCAACGTAGTTCAATGTTGCACGTTCCGCATTTTCTGTAGAATCAAATGATACTGGTGCGCACTGCGTGCAACATTCACTCGAAACGTTGTGCAACGTATCGAAACACGAGGGCGCTGTTGCGCTGCCGAAGACCTCGTGCATCACTTTGTTCACAACGTTCATAGCGCGTGTTTAATATTAATATATTATATTATTTAATAGTAATAAATATTAAAATAATAAAAACAATTTTACTTATTAAATTTATTACTTGTACTTATACTTAAATATGGATATTGACGCGGATCGACTGCTCGTGCTTGTTGAGGCTCGACCCGCCATATATAATTTTAATTTAAAAGAACATCACAACCAGGACGTCATCAATCAATTGTGGAGCGAAATTGGACAAGAATTAAATATTACAGGTACATTAAAATATTAAAATATTACATTTAAATATTACAAAAGTAAAATTATAACCACGATATCGTCCGGGTATTGATTATTTCTTGTGCTATTGAATTATTTTTAGACTTGAATAATTATTAATTATTTTGGTTTTGTTGTTTTGTACTATTTATAATTTATATAATCAAAGTTCGCATCATGCTGAACAATAATAAACGCTAATATTAATATATATTAATGTTTATTAATTATAATAATAATAATAATATAATATAAATATATTTATATATATATATATTAGTTACAGAATGTGAATTATAAATATTAAAGTGATAAAAAAACTTATAACAGTAGCTATAATGTTTTATATTTTTTTTTTAAACACCTTGAACGTCTAAAGTCTAGCCATATACTCTTGCCATAATACTGAACCAATTGGCGAAACGAAATAATCAACGAAATTTTCTCGAACTTGATATGCATTTCGGGATGCTCTTGCTCTTGTCGGTTCCCTGCTTACGTCACACTCTTCTACATTTATCATTTCACTGTATACATCATTAATTATTCTTTCTTTCTAATCATATTGTGTAACAAACAACAAGCCAAAGTTATTGTTGTTGCAAAATCAGGATGGACTAACATAGACCTTTGGAGTATATGAAATTTTTTTGACATTATTCCGAATGCACATTCCACAATCCGACGAGCTCTGGAGTGTCTGTAGTTATAAATTTTATTTTTGTCTGACGTGAGTGACGATCGAGCAAAAGGTTTCATCATATTTTTATTCAACGAATAAGCACTATCTGCCAAAAATACATAATACATAATACATTCAATTTCTTTTGCGGGATCTATTTTTCGTGGCTGTGGCAAGTTCAATGTTTGTTCGATAAAATTCTTACCGAAATTTGAAGCAGCAAATACACCTCCATCACTGTATCTTCCCGCTTCTCCTACGTCTACGAATAAAAAATTACCCTCCGCATCAACGACTGCTTGTAGTACAATTGAATTATAATTTTTATAATTGTAATAAGCCTATCCTCCGTGATATGGCTGTTGAATACGGATGTGTTTACCATCCACGCTGCCACAAACGTTTGGATAGTTCCATAATTTCTCAAATTTTTCGGAAATATTTCGCCACTTTTCTGGAGTAGGGTTAGTCATTAAATAAATAGGAGAAAGTACTTCTCATATAGCTATGCAAGTTTCATTTATTATTTCTCGTGCTGTCGTAGCACCAATGCGCATATTGTAGTGGATGAATTTAAAACAATCGCCAGTTGCAAGAAATCTAAAATAAAGGGTTATAGTTCAATTTATAAACTTTATTAAATTATCATTTTATTTTTTAAATTTTTAAAATTAAATTAAATATTAATTATTATTAAAATTTAATCATTGAACATTAAAAATATTATTATTATTATTTCGGTTTTAGCTATTCAATGTAAGTAAAAAATGCTCCTAGTGGGTCTGCTGCTAAGAAAAAAAAGTGGCACTTGGCTGATGATGCAATGTCATTTTTATCAAATTACGCTGAACCGCAAAGAAAAATTATAAGTAACATTTCTGCACCTAATACATCGAAGGTTGGTGAGGAAGTAAGAAATTTGGAGGTAGGAGTTAGTGAGGATGGTAACGAATTTCTTTCTGAAGAAATTGAGTCTCAGTCAGGATTAGATAATATTGAGAGACAATACGTCACTCCAACAGCATTCTCGTCCAAGGAAACAAAAAAGAATAAAACTAATAAGTCTTCAGTTGCTGAAGTCGTCGCAGGTCCTATGGTTGAATATCTTAAGACGGTCACTGCTCAAGTTCAATCTCAGAGAAATAATCATGAATTAGACGATCCTACATTAACGTTCTTCAAAAGCCTTGTGCCTGATGTTAACAAGCTTAACCCCAGAAAACAGCGTTATTTCAAAGCAAAAGTGATGGAACTTTTGAACTCAATGCTCGATAGTCAAGAGGATAATGATTCAAGAGGTCCCCTCGTTGTGAATACTGCTTACAGTTCCAGTTCATCTGGACCACCCTCCAACATCAGTGATAACACTTCAGCGTCATATGCGATACAACCTTCGATTGGATGTATACATTTTGGACCTCCAAGTTCGGAAGACCAGCAACAACAATTCCGAAATCAACACCAAAATCAAACAAATTTCCCATATGATACATACATGTAAAATGTATTATGATAAATAAATTAACATATACCTAATGTTGATGTACAAAATATTGTATTTTAAAAATGAAATACAAAAATAAATAAACTATAAAACTTACCTTATTGTTATCAATAATCTTTCCTCAGCTGGAATACTTCTCCTAAAATTTGTATTCAACTTCTTTATTCTGTCTTCAACTAGACTCAAAAGCTCATAGAAGGTTGTAATATTTATTCGGCAGTAGTTATAAAAATTTTCTGGATCGTTTTTTAGTTCTTGAATAAAACCAGAAATATTTCTGTTTTGGTTGATTGGGTGAATCCAAAATCTATTTTGTTTATTATTTTCCAATTCTAAAAACTCCAAAAATTGCCACAATAAAATATTCACCTCTACTTCTTTATCCATATTTGGAGTAGGGAAACAAACTAAACACTTGTTACTACAACCGATGATAATCATGTACTGAAAATCTTGTTGTAGTAAAACAATTTTAAAACTTTATGTAATTTTGCAATAATAAAAATAAAATAAATTAATATTGTTTTTTTTTTTTTAATTGCCTGAGATAAACTTAAAAAAAATAGTTGCTTTAGGGAAAGAGGATGTTTTCCAAAAGTAGGTACTAAAAATATCACTAGAAGATATCATGCGGTGCTAAAAGGATTAACTATTTAAGCCATAAAATTGATGAATAATTCAAAAAAGTCAAAAAATAATATCAATCACTGAAATATCCATAACTCAGCTATTTTTTAACGTAGGAAGTTGGTTTTACCACTAAAATTCATGAAAAAATAAGAGTAAAAATAACTAACCAAAAAATAGTGGGGTTGCCATTTAAAAAAAAAAAGTTGTTATGCGCATGCGTGAAATGAAATGGCATAAAAATTGTTTAATTACTTGAATAAGTTATAACAAACTTTGTTAAGCACCACAAACAAACAGAATTTAAATATCTTTAATATTTGTTAAGTTATAGAGTGTTTCCAACAACCGATTTTACACACTGTATTTGTAATCTATGAATATCACTGCATCGAACAATACCAGTTTAGTCAGTTTCCGTTTTGTAGTTTATGTGTAAGCGTCGTTTAAATTGACCTCTTACGTGTTGAATGTCGAAATCATGCCGGACGAAAAAATTGAACAACGTATTAATTTAAAATTTTTAGTGAAACTTGGAAAATCTGCCACCGAAAGTTTTAATTTATTAACTGAAGTATATGGAGATAGTGTCCTATCACGACCACGTGTTTTTGAGTGGCACAAACGATTTCGTGAGGGCCGTGAAGAAGTTGAAGACAATCAACGGGTGGGTCGTCCATGCTCCTCAAAAACTAACGACAACATTTCAAAAATCAATGAAATTGTGCGAAAAGATCGATGTCTGAGTATTCGAATGATAGCTGAGATGGTTAATATCGACAAGGAGACCGTTAGACAAATTTTGCACGATGAATTAAACATGACAAAAGTCTGCGCCAAAATAGTGCCTAAAAATCTCACTCCGGAACAGTTTTTTCTAACAAAGTTGCGGGACCGAATAGCCCTAGCGGATCGAAAATCCGGGCTACCAAAGATAGTATACCCCGTTTAGAGAACACTGGTGGGGGGTCAACGCGCAGCGCACAACAAAAATAGTCACGGTCTGGACGCCACTCGATTCTTAGCACTTTGGTACCTTTATTTTCGACCGAGTCGAATGCCAAATGGCCAGCACCACGACTGTCCTCCGGTACCGCATCCAGTAACGACGGGATATTGGTGGCCCATTTTTTCAATTCCAAGCCGGATTTACTTAACACGTTGACGGACAGTCAGAAGTAAGATTTTGTTCTACAGTCATACCTTAAAATGGTCACTTTTTCATTACTGCTATAGCAGTATTATAATTTTTTATAAACTTTTTCGATATTTGCCCTTTATTTTTATCAAAACATGTCAAAATAAATCTTTAATTTAATTACATTAGTACTTCTTTATTGATATGATAAATAATAAAATAATACATTAATCTTAACAAAATAACATTACACTCTGGTTTAGTAGTTCTAAAAACAAAAATTTAAAAATTTAAATATTAGATTATTATTTCGAGGAATGGTACATTTCAAAACATTTCCCTGGACATAATGGAACAACACATTGTTTACATTGAAGATATGTTTGCCTTCTGCGTTTTATGTTCAGACTGTAACAATTTAGACAATTTTTATAATATTTTTTTCTTTTGTAACCCGGTGGAATTGATATATTCTCTTGAAAATGAGAACTGCCAGCAACGTTTGTAGGTTTTTTTCTTACTTTTTTATTTTTATTTGCTATAGAAATTTCGTAATTTGTAATATTTGAAGGCAGCGAAATTAAATCCTTGATTATCATGTCCCTAAAATCCTTGACATTTTTATTTTCAGCATGAATTTTTTTTTTATATATATAATAAGTGTTCTATACAGCAATGTCTAACAAATGAAGTATAACTTTCTTATACCATTTACATGTTTTTCTGGGTGAACTGTAATAGCTAAACATTTGGTCACATCTATCAACTCCACTCATTTTTTCATTATATTTTCAATTTCTATAGGTTTTAACTTTTGTTGCCTATATTTATTGGTTGATGTGACGATTTGTGGATGATATTTGGTAGAGATAATTGTAACGTCACGTTTGTTTTTCCATTTTGAAATGTAAATTTCATTTTTTCTCTGCCATACGTGATCACCCTTTTTTAATTTCTTTTTAGTTACCTTTTCAGGATTGCCCTTTCTATTGCTTCTCAGAGTTCCTGTACTATGTGTTTTTTTTTTTTTAATAATAATTCGGAAAGAATAGTGCTGTTATAATAATTGTCCATAAATAAACTGTGGCCTTTGCATAAATATGGATCCATAAGCCCAAGGACTAGGCTATCTATTTTAGAATTAGTTGACGGCAATAAATAATTATTTTTACCCTTGTAAACTTCAATATTTAACACGCATTCATTAGGATCACATAGTTCAAAAAACTTTATCCCATATTTTGCCTTCTTGTCCTTTATATATTGCCTAAAGCTTAATCTTCCGCGATGTAATAATAGTGACTCGTTTAAAGATAAATCTTAAAGAAAATCTTCTCTTGGGTAAAATGCTTTTTGAAAATTTGCAATTAGTATTTTAAACAGTGGATTTAATTTTCTCATTGGGCCTGTATCTGTGGATAGACCTGAATATTCAACGCTGAAGTACGCGAGAAGCTGTTCAAAGCGTCGTCCTGATATGGTGTATTTTATTATTGGGTGATAGTATAATGGATTATTTGAGAAAATATCACGCAATGATGGAAATTTGAATGAACCCATAAGCATACACATTCCAAGAAATTTTTTTATTTCTTCTGGGTCAGTTTCAGTAAATTTAGATTTACGAGAAAATTTTCCATGGGTCGATTTTTATTTTTTTGGTTTAATCCGTATGCATTTGTGGATTTCACGATAATGTCAATAACTTCTTAAGTCCAAATTTGATTAAATATTTCAATTGGGGAATGACGAGCAGTGTCTTCAACATTTAATTTGATTCCACTAGTTGTAGTATCAAAATTAAAATCAGGTATAGGTATAAAGTCATCCTTCCATAATGTGTCAGTTGAATTAGAATTAGAATTATTATAATCGCTATCATCGCTAGATGTGTTGCCAAACGAATTTTCATCGTTAGAATAATCAATTTGATTTTGTAACGTACCTGTCGAAGGGCCAGGAGTAGAAAAATTATCTAAACTTGAACTTGGACTTGAACTCGGATTTGTGTTTCAATGACCTGGTAGAAAAATTGGGTCATTGTCAGTATCATCCGTAAAAAAAGAACTGTCAGAATTAAAGTCGGTGTCTGACCAAAATTGGTTTATTAGATTTTCTTCACGATCAGTCATTTTAATTTTTGTATAGGACACGAATAGTATAATAAACACGAAGCTATTACGAATTATTACGTCGAATAAACCGAATGTAACTGATAAACATTGCCACGCGCCCATAAAGAGAAACGTTGTTGTTGATATTTGATAAATATTATTGGAATTACCTATGTGAACTTATAAATAAAAATTCAATTTAATTCGACAGTGCCCAAATGCGCAATAGGCTTAATGTGGGCAACACAACATCCTCTTTCATAAGAAAACATTGGAATTATTACTGCTATTACAGTTATGCCACATTTAAGAAGGTTTTTAGAGTACGGTTATAGCAGTTATATTTAAAACTGCCATGATAGACACAAATGTACGATTACTGCTATAGCAGTAAAATTGATCGAGTGTCCATCAACGTGTTAATATTGTAATCAAATTTGTTTGAAGATCACGCGCCGCGGCCTCTATGTCTGCACCCACGAAAATATCGTCGACGTATGTTTGCCGTGTCAACGTATGACATACGGCCTCTGCGCCGTCGCAGTCACCGGAGTTGATGGCGTTTAAAACTCGTAACGCGAGAAACGGCGCGCAATTCAACCTTATGTCATGGTTTGAAGTTCATATCCAAGTAACTCGGGATGTGGCGATTCGCGCCATAAAATGTGTTGATATTTGCGGTATTTCGGAAGTACTTGAATTTGCCTATACATTTTGCGAATGTCGGTGGTGAACATGTGACGATGGATACGAAAACGCATAAAAATATCTACGATATTTTTGAAGTTTCAGACCGGGCATCAAACAAGAATTTAAAGACGGACCTAGATTACCACGTGACGAAGCGTCAAAAACAACGCGAATTTTAGTGTCATCGTCGTCGGGACGGCATACCGCATGATGAAGTATATAATAACACCCAGGGGACCTAGCTAGTGACATGTATCCTAACGACGCATATTCGGACATAAATCGTATATAGGAATTTTTTAAGGTCGGGTTAGACTGTAATTTTCGTTCGAGCGAGTCAAAACGACGTTCGGCGACAGCACGTGAACTGGCAAACGTGTCGTCAGACACTGGCCGTCAAAATGGCAGGGCCACGGCAAACTGACCCGATGGTAAACGAACGTGCTCGTTACGGAAAATAGATTCGCACAGTCCGTCTTCCGTAAAAATTTCAGGAGCAATCTCCGGTTCCTCTACCCGCCAGAATTGTTCCATAAGCTCCTCTATGGATACCGCAAGAGAGACTGGCATCGAACGGTACGTGTCTATGTCGTTATGATCGACCGGGCCAATTAGTATCCAGCCAAAGATAGAATTGAATGCCGCCGGTAAATTCTTATCTATCACTACTTTACGGCCGTCCATTATCGACGCATATATATGACTGCCTAGCAACATGTCTATCGGAGCCGTAATGTCGAAGACGGGTCCGCTAATGCGAGATTAGAATATCTCTCACGAACATTGGGTGGTAATGGCTTTCGCGGTAAGTTACCTGTTATTGACGATAACACCCAAGCATTCACATACAGCTCAGGTTCGTTAGCAAATCGGGGCTGTATCACACACTCTACTCATCTTTGTACATCTACGACCGGAACCCCCGACAACCCGGTGACCGGTGTTGTCCAACACGTACGTGTCAGTTCTAAACGATCAATGCAAGATGTTGTGAGGGCGGATATTTGTGACGCGCAATCAATTAACGCTCCTACGGTATGCCGAGAACCAGACCTGTCGCGCACGTGTATTAAGGCGGTTCCTAAAATAATTGAAAGTCGATTTACATACACGTGGCGGTAATGTCGACGCGCACAGCGATGCCTCCATAATTGACGTATCTTCATTACTACGATTACTAACGGAAGGGTGGAGCAGGTGGTGTTTGCGGGAATACTCTCGGCAGCGCGCTTTCGCATTGCATTTCGAGGCTCAATGACCCATGCCGAAACAATTGAAACATAGGCGATTTTCTCGCACCCAACGCATACGATCGGTTACAGACCATGCCTTGAAACGATTACACGAGCCTAACACGTGGGACCCGGAACAGAATGGACACGAACTTTCTCATTTTGCGGTCACTAACGAGGTGGGACGTTGCTTATCATACCTCCATGCTTGTTCTCCCCCCGTACGAGACTGGCCGTGTGACTGAGCCGGTCTCAACGGCGCAGGTGTCGGAACGGGATTACGACGATCACCCGCCAGTTCTAATATAGCTACACAATCCTGGATAATGGCTAACAATTCGTCAACGGACGGATAATCTGATTTCGTATTAGATTCGAATAATTTACGGGTAGGTAACGGTAAACATCGGAACGCGACCGTGAACAAGATAAAAGATCCGACGTCCGAAATATTGAGCGCCCTAAGTAGAGACAAGCTCTCACTAAATTGTCCAACAAAAGTTGGAAATCACTGAGTGACTCTTGATTAAATGACGGTACATGTAACAAGTTATTAATTAATGATGTGGCCACCATACGCGGACGGTGGAATCGATTAAGGCTGCGGTCACAGTGGCACCGACGTCGACCGATTCGACCGACGACCGACATCGGTGAAACTCGCCCGATTATTTTAAGAAAAGTAAATACAGTCAACTCGCAGTATAACGAAGTTCGATATAACGAAAATCTCGATATAACGTATAAAACTGTCGGACCCTTGAAAACCTCGTGCTAT